ACTTAAGTGCTTACATATTCACATGTCTGGCTAGGATGTTGCTCTGACATCCTCCAACAGGACCTTCTGATAGGAATTAGCACTAAATGGCAGTTGCCAAGATGAACTGAGGACCATTCATGCTCCGAGTGTTAATAGGACAATAACAGGACTGCAGAGCTGAACAGCAATTCAAGTCTTCTACCCGTACCCATGCGTGGTACAAGGGCACAGATAAGACATATCCCAGGGAACGTTTGCTTAAGCTGTTCTTAAACACTTCCAAAGCTAGGATCCTTCACAACTTCTCCAAGCAGTCTCTTGCAATGCTTCACTCTCTTCACTTCTAGAAAGTTCTTCCTAGCTGAAATGTAAGCCCTCTTCTTACTTCCCGAGTACAAGAACAGATTGCATCCTGGTTATACCCTTCTTTGCATTACAAGTTTGGGGTTTTTTTTTTCTTTTTACATATATAAACACTGTTACTCTATCTTCCCTCACAGTCTTCTCGAGGGCTTATATTCTGTCTTCTCTGGACCACTTGTTATTGTCAGGGTCCTTCTGTGGATTACATCCGCATTTTCTTTCAAGATTGGCATCCAAAATGAGACACAGTACTCTCACGTCTTGCAAACTGCTTCTTTTCATACATGCTGGTGTGCATTTTTCTTCATTAACAGTATAGTATAGCCTTGGTGACTTCAGCTGGTGATCCACTTCACTCCCCAGATCCTTTTCAGCAGAATTGCTCTCCAAACAACTGTTCCCCTGCTGTACTTACACAGTGGGTTTTTTCCTGCCTAATTGTAGGACCTTTCACTTGCCCCTGTTGAATTGCATCCTAGTTTTATCAGGACACTGCCAGTTTGTGGGGATCCTTTGGAATTCTACCCCCATCTTCCAACATATGCCAGCTCCTCACATCTTGGTGTTATCTGCAAATTGGCAAGGCAGTCTGCAGTCTGTCATTTAGGTCTTTATTGACAATACTAAATACCATGGGGCCTAGGACAGATCAGTGCAGAACCCTGCTTAATATTGTCTTTCACTTTGTTAACAGAGTTAAGTCTATTAATTTAGACTGTTCTCCTTCAATTTGCTTAAGAAAATGTCACTAGAATTTGTCATTTGACTAGTGTAAAAGCCAAGATATGTAACATCTACTGTTTCTCCTTTATCTTCAAGATTGATCACTCTATCGCAGACTGAAGTTAAACTGATTTGTTCTGACAGCTCACATCAGCAGTTTCTTACCTCCTTGTTATCAGCCCTGTGCACTTCAAGGGATGGCAATAGGCAGAGTCCTAGGGTGGGCTGCCAGCCACAAAAAGCCTGGCACACAGGCTCAGCAGCTCCTTTGAGAACTACTAGATGCCTCTTAACGTGCGTGATGGTGGAAGCATCAGCATACTTCAGTCACTACTACTGTCTCTCTCTCCTAGAAGAGCTAATTGGAACTGTGAAATCAGGGTCTTTCTTCTGGAAGAGGTATGAAGGATGCAAGAACAGCAGAGAACTGAAGGAGACCATGCTATGTATTGGGAGGAAGGCATGGCCAAGAAGGCAGGATGGGAAGAAGGGGAGGGCGGCTTGGAAGAGGTGGCTTTCTTTGGGCTCTCCAAACATTTGTGGATCCACACCTCATTTAGCATTAATCCCTCCCTACAGAGAGAGACAACCTGTCATACAGTTTGGATTTTAATTTTCCACGTTTCCCCGCAAGCAGAAACATACGGGCATATTTAGGCCTTTTTGGTACCTGGAGAGGAATAAATGAGAGCCACCGGCTGGAAAGTTGTACTGTCATTCTGATATTCCTTTTTCATCCCATTAAGGTTGTCCGGGAACTAGGAGTCAGCTGATCAGATTATTGCCAGACATTATCAAGCTGTCTATAATTAGCTTTTTATTGGTGAGAAGCCAGAAAATCCTCTTTGTTTGCAAGCTTGGACTATAGAGAAAGAAAAGAAATATTTCATGGAAGAGATTGTTTGGAAACTGCATATCCTAATTAGTGTCTCAGCCTTGTAGTGAAACTGCATGCGGCATTTGTCTGAAAAAAGAAAAAAAGACGCTTTAAACATCCTCTTTTGAGGAAAGCTGGGTTGCATTCTTGAAAGGTGCAGCACACATGGAGCTCAGTGCAGATATGGATGCTATACCACCTCTGCTCTCTTCCCTTGGTGTGGGCTTCTTACATTCCCACACATTATATGGCTCTTTTTAGTGCCATTCTGGATTGAAAATTTAACACAGGTTAAAACATAGGTTAAAAATTGGGCTATGCCATCCACATGTAAGCTGTGCAGTCTGCACACTCAGGATCAATAACTTCAGCTTCAGAGAAATTTGGATAAGCATTCCAGTAGTCCAGATCTTTTTATGATGTACATTAAAATTACAGTAGTTTAAGTCCAAGGTGACTTTTATTCTAAGATAACCCTTTGCATTTGCAGCATCATCTTACGAAACATTTTACCTGATTCATTTTAGAAGTTAATAATTTAAATTACTAACATATGGCTGAAATTTTCAATGTCATGTAGTAATGGTATCCCCTTTAATTCCTCCAGTGGACGCCATAAGCTCTATGTGCTCGTTGTAAACACCATTTACACAGACTGCAGCACACAGAGATTAGTGATACATCCATTAGTGGGATGGTTAGAAGATCACAGTCTATTCCAAGGCAAACATTTTTCCTTCTTCCTCCTTTAGTGATACATCCATTAGTGGGATGGTTAGAAGATCACAGTCTATTCCAAGGCAAACATTTTTCCTTTTCTTCCTCCTGGTTTTTTGTTTGGTTGGTTGGTTGGGTTTTTTTGTTATATCCCAATAATTTTTCTTCTCAAACACTTAAATCAAACCAAAACTTATCACTATCATGTTTTCTCTTTTCTGAGGAAGAGCATCACCGTGAAGGATGCCAAGCCTTCTGAAGTAACAGAAGTATGAGACTCTCCTAGTCTGCCCTATTATTTCGAGTCTTAAAGAGTTACGAGAACAAAGCCTGTTCAATGATATATAAAGGTCTTAATCAAATGTCTGAATAAAACCCTGAAGCAGTTATATGAAAGCATCAATCATGTGTTTTCCAAAATAGAACCAGAGCAAGAATATGCACCATCTTCCCACGATCTAAACAGATTTTAAGTGAGCTGCTGGTTGCTATACTTAGGGTGGGATCATATCAGAAAGCAAAGTATTTTGCAGAGTTTAATTGTGGTTATTTCTGGGAATGACACTGTCAGTTTGTGAACTGCACATTGAGTTTGTAGTGGTTGGAGTACCTAGCACTTACTAAGACATAATAATCCGCATAGGCTGTTAAACTCCAGTGGTAGAATCAAGTAAATACAGTAAAGAGGGAATATCTACTTCAGGTTTAAGCAGTAATGGGATTAGCTATTTCTCTCTGCTCTGCAACCAAACAAATCAATATAGGCTGTTGGTTTTTTTTTTTAAACCACTGGTTGTCTGGAACAGTCTCGTTAGCCTTGCCCACCCACTCAGTGGAAGTGGGCCAAGTGCACTAATACATTTTTGGAAGGCAAATCTAATATCCCCTAGATTTTTAGTCTAAGGGGTGGAAAGCAAAGGTCATTTGGATTCAGACCCTTTTGCATGGGTATACAAGAGTGGTTCAACCACATGACTTGCTATTAGCTCTTGCATAGGACACCTGCTCTAGTCTCCAGGGAATATTTGCAAGGGTTAGCTTTAAGCACTGCAGGTTAGTATCCCTTGGTGAGTATACTCAACAGAGAAAAAGGTGATTCAGAGCAGGAATGTGATTGTGGTTAAGTGATCGGCTAGAGGAGCTGCTCTCATACACACCTAGGGAGACTAGTTTCCTCTGCTTGGATTTCACTGCTGTAAATGCTCCTCTTGGTCCTCAGGCTAGCTGCACTGTGTCTCTATGTCCTTAGCACCTTGTCCCACACTCTTAACTCCACTTCTCCCCCTAGAATTTGCCCCCTCAATAGACCTCAACTCCCCACTCATACATCCCTTTCACCACCCCAACAGTTCTGTGCCTCTGTCCTCATGTGTGTTTCAGCCCCGGTCTCCTCCCCTTGCAAACATCTGTCTCCCTGTCTTTCTGTCATAACTAAGACAACCCCACTCAGCTTGATTTCCACTTTCTGCTCTTCTTTCTTCCTGTAACCAGTGAGCCAATAAGAAAATTTTCTTGCTCTCTCAGTTTACAAATCCCCGCTTTTTCCTAGATTGGATTGTGCCCAGGGTGGACCAAATATTCAATGGATTTGGGTACCAAATTCTAAGGCATCTCTACTTAGAGTGCTGTATGCAGTACTATAGTGGTTTTATTTTCAGCAGGTTATCAGCTGGCCAGCTATAGATTACCCCGGGGATAACAGAAGGCACCTGCTTGACACAAATATCTGCCAGATTTCAGTTTGCAAAGCCAAATGATGAGAGGGCATGAGACAAATCTGAAGAGATAGTCACCAGAGATCTTTAACAAGGGAAAAATGAGATATGTTTCCCTAGTCTGTTTTTCAAAAATACCTGAACAGTCTTGCCTGACATTTTCCAAAAGCAGACATTGAAGGCAGACATTGCACATGGAATATTTTAGTCCAAAAACTTAAAAGACCAACAAAAGTTATAAGGAGCTGACTCTCTCCTACACTGGAAGGCACAAGGCAGTCTTAAAAATAGGCAGCGCTACCAGCTTACCTGGGTGATAGCGAACTGCAAACAAGACAGGAGTTTGTGAAATACGAACTTGCAACCCAAGATATTCCTGTAGGGCAAGGGCATTTTCATCTCTCAGAACAATAGCAAATGGAATTCCTGTTATGACTAACACAACATGCTGAGCCCAAGGAACATGCCACGGGGTAAGGATATTCTAATGTTGTTTGCACAGTAATTTGGCTCACTCTTTTAAGTGTTCTCTAACACGGATAGATCTTGAGCCTTGCCTACAGCGGGAATTTAGCCACTGCTATAAACTGTGTCCGGAGGATTGTTCTGGCGTGCAGATTTACCCTTTGGGGAAAATTGCCAGGTAGGCAAGGCTCTTGATATTATTGTTCAAAATCTCCATGTTAAAACCCGTACATCCTACTTCCAGACTTAGTTCTTAGCTCAGCCAAAATTAGAAGCCAGAAGTTCAGGCCAAACTGAGCTATTTGCATAACCTGCAGAGGTATTCACACAGAAGGGGTTTCTCTAGTAAGATGCTAACTGACAGCACAACTGAACTTCATTTTGAGGGCTCAGAGAACAGCTATACAAGTGAGAAAAGCTGAAAAACACGGGGTTTTTTAGTAAGAGACTCCAGGCACTTCTTTATGCAGGCTATTAAAGAGAAGGTGAAGGAATGACTTGATCGGAGTCTCAGAGTACCAATGCAATAAGCAAACACAAAATTTTCAGGGTAGCAAACGTGTGGCTAGTTATTGCACCAGTGGCTAGTAATTGCAGCTAAACAAAGTATCAGTATAGAAACGTAGTGACATTTCTTAAACAATGAAAGTAATTAACCTTTGGGAGAAAAAGGGCTGTCATGGATCCTTTCTCACTGGCACCTGTAAAGCGTAGATATCTTCCTGAAAGATACTCTGGAATTAAAAATTAATTCAGGATGCAATAAAGTAGAATCCAAAACCCTCAACTGCCAGGATTGTAGTTACAACTTCCCACCATTGCTAACCACAGCTACTGGTAAAGGTTAAAGGTGTAGATGTATTTTGGCTCTACATGTGCTTTAATCTTTGTTTTGCCTAACCTTGTGCTGAGCAGGACCACACAAATTAGCTCTAACGGTACAGTTATCTACTGGGACCAGATCTGTACTGCACCTCTCAAGTTGTTGCAACTCATGGAACTGGCTGGCATAGATTGAGTCCACAAATTAAAACTTAGAAATTTAGGCTTAACACTCCTCTTATGATGAAAAAGAGCCAAACTTCCTATTTCCTTGCTTAAACATCAACAGTCAGTTGGGAAGCGTGATGGACAGGGCCCTCCATTGCAGCTAATAGCATTAACTTTCTCCCCCTCCCCATAGCACATTTCCCCCCGTAGTTTCAAAACGGCTTATTTTACAGCAGACAGGGACTCTTCACCACCATGTGACATACAAGGTTTTAAAAATTAGGAGTTACTTATTGCTTAAGCTGACACAATAAATCAGCTGCCAAATTGAGGATGATAACCAAGTACGATGGATAACGATCGCACGCTGCGGGGAAGCAGGACACCCCTACATTCTGAGCTGGAGAGATGTAGCCACCGGATGCTGTATTACAATGACAACGAGACCTGCAGGGAATGGGTGACTGTGGGTTTGCATCTGCAAGTAAAGGGCACCCTTCTAATCGCCAAAGAGCAACTAGAGATGGTGCTGTGCAGGATCAAGCCCATTCAGTTTCAAGAAAGCAAGAGGAGGAGGAGGAGCTGCATAAACCTCTTGATACGGTCTCTTTGAGTGAGCCCTGTTCCTCAGAAGGATTCACTGGGGGCCTATTATGAACCGAGAAGGAGGGTGATGAGGTGTTTGATGTGGTAAACAAACACTCCCAGCCAGAGATGCACATGTCTGTTTAGGAAAGCAACACGTTCTCAAAACAATTCTCCCCTGACTGAATTAGGTAGGAAGTACAAGGATTCCATGTCTCTTCCATTTCTTAAAGCTGAATTACTAACAGCCTCAATATTTGCATGGAACCACAGTCCATTAAGATCATTTCAGTCCACCAAGAACTGAAAGCACGCACCTCTAAATATTTATAAGGGAGATACTCCCTCCAGGTTCATTTCCAACAACCGCTTCCAATGCTGGCTCTCCAAATGGCCAACTCTTCCAGCAGAACTGTTTCCTGCACATCCATCTGCCTGCTTTGTTCAGATAAACACGCACCTCTCCTGCTAGCCATGTGGTACTGACTTCTCTCTGCTGCGTGCACAGTTAATGGGGATGCCCTGCAGAACCTTTGCTGTGAGCGTGAGTCACAGAGAGAACCCAGCTGGATATCTGGAAGCCCATTTGGGTTTATGAATTAGCAGGATGTGGGAGACTTTCTTTTCTTTTAAACCAATCCATGAAGCAAGTCCAATATGGAGTTACTGAGTTAATATACATGAGTAGACTGCCTGTCATTTTTCAGTCATTTCTATGACTCTAACTGGAAATACCAAGTAGTAAATGAACAGAGAGACTGAAATCCACCTCCCCTAGTTGCTCTGAAAGGCAGTTTCACAGAACGTGAAAGGCTGGATCAGATTGGCAGCGTGCAGAAAACTACTGCCACTGCTCTACATGCTACTGGTCAGCAGATAAACAAAACAATCCCATTTCCAGGGCTGTGAAGCCAGCAGTAAATTTACACAGCCATCTTTTTAATAGCTTTGAAGAATAAAGGAAAACAAAGCACAGTCATTTCAAGCTCCGTTAGAGAAAAAAAATCAATGTTTGACAAATAGGAAGGGACAAATTCTGGATAAGGAAATGCTACTAAGCTTTTGGAAACATATGTGTTTTTTAACTGGCGATCAAATAGCGAGCGACCAGATGCCTTTGAAATACCTATGCACTTTAATGGCAGGAGCTGTTAAAATATATGGAGAGTCCATCATTAAAGCAAATGGGACAAAGCTCTCATTAGTAATTACTGTGTTACTCAACCAAACGTAGCAGCAGTGGTGCTAGTTCTGCAGTCCTTGCTCAACACATCTGTACCATCAATTCTCTACCGGTAAAAGCCTGTTTATGATTGTTCCCAGTTAGCTATTTAAGCTTTAAACATGTACTTGGGTTAGGAACGTATTCTGTCCATGTTAACTGATCATAGGCCCGGACTAATTTAGGTTGGAAGGAATCTCTGGAGGTCATCTAGCCAACCTCCTGCTCATGAAATGTAAAGTGAGATACAGAGAGTGTGCAGGGCTTACTCTAGGGGCGCAGGGGAAGGGGATCAAGAACTGTATCATATTCCTGACCCAGCATCATACCCTCTCAGCTGCAGGCTGCAGTTACCATGCAAAAAATGAAGTCTGGCTGTTCATTGGTGACACCTGAACTGTGACAACTTGGATTTCCAGGAGCAGTGGGTCTCCTTGCCAGAGACACACTGAGTAACACCACCTGCCATGGGAAATTTCTCTCCATGCCCTGGCACTTGACACTGCCAGCCCCTGAACTGATCTTTGCAGCAGCATCCTGCCTGCCTTCCCCAAATCGTGTCATTCCCAAAGTTGCCTCCGGTTGCAGCACCAGGTGGGACAGCACAACTTTCTTCATTTTCCCAAAGACTGTGACTGCACCATGTCCTATTCTTGTCAGTGTTCCCCAAACCATTCTTAATGCCTAATATGCCTAATGAAGTTTAGCCCACCAGAGTAAGCACTACAGTAAGCCACGAACAGGGCTGTAAAGCATGCCTCAAGGATCTCCCCCTTCCCTCTTTATTTCACTCCTAGTTGTGGGAAACTCGCTATGGGGATTTCCCTTAGGAATTCAGTAGAACTGACCTCTCGGAATGAACTTGTGTTGCAATACTTTTTGCAGAAAGCACACAGCCTAGCACATTTGTTCCTTGTAGTACAGCTCCAGGTCTCTCTGGTTTGCTAGCAGCACATTCCAACAGAGCAGAGTCCCTTGTTGTTTCCTATAGCAAAACTCCATACAGGACCTCCTGGATAAAAGGCAATTACATATTATTTGTAAATCTAACAGCCTTGGATTAACCCAAATACAAAATTTGATCCAATTTAGTCCCTTTTTTTCCTTGTCAGATAACTGTTTGACTGCCTTTTTGTACTTTCCTGAGCTCCAGCCCTCAGTCTGAGAAGCTATTTTACTACAAACGAAGCCAGTTGCTGCTACGAGACCGTACAGCGTTCCCGCTCTGCGGAGGGGTGTTTACGTTCTTGCTTTCTCCCCCCGGCCCCCTGGAGCAAACACAATCTCTTCACTTTGCAATGCCAAAAATAGAAGCGTTGGTATTTAAATTGTGAACAATCGAGTTTGGCAAACAATCCGTATGACTGCACCCTTTCTGAATCACGGGATTGAGTCATTTCCCTCACCTAAGCTGCTCTCTTCCCCCGTGCAGATTGCAGGAGCAGGGAGAAATACGGCACTAATGTTCTCCTGTCTGTGTGTCTTCCCAACCCCCCCACCCCCGTCCCCTGCAGCCTGCCTGCTCCAGGCCGAGCTGGTGAATTACGAGCGAGTCAAGGAGTACTGCCTCAAAGTGCTTCAGAAAGAAGGTGAGAACTTCAAGGCGCTCTATCGATCAGGAGTGGCATTTTACCACCTGGGCGACTTCAACAAGGCTCTCTACTACCTGAAAGAGGCAAGATCCCGCCAGCCGACAGGTATGGGGGGAAGCGGGGACATGGCTTTGCATTGAGCGTTTTTGCATTTCTTTTCATGAGACTTAGTCTGTCCCTGACTTGATTGCGTTGATTTCCACAGGGATGAGCATGACTCACGGTATCCTTTGCCATACTCCCCTTCAAGCACTCTCTCGTACTGCAGCAAGGTTGCAGTGCCCAGAGATTAACCACTGCCAAGGCTGCAGCACAACCTGGAAGATAACAGTATTGCTGGAATGCTGTCTGTGTGGAGGGGATCCTGCCTCTCTTTCCCTCCCTAGTTTATTTTTGAAGAAGAAAGCAGGATGGGGAAGAGTGGATCCCGACCGCTACATTTTCTGACTCTAAGAACAAGCTTTTTCCCCTTAGCAAAGTCAGGACACTATTTGTAATCCCCAGTAGCCACGCCTTCTACCGTCTCAGTAAAGAGTTAGTATTTTAATTTGATCAAAGAGACAGACATTTACTCACAAAACATTCATCAAGGATACTTCAACTTTTGCCATGAAATCAGCCAAGTATCTGTCATCCATGTGTCAAACCCCAACAATTCATTTTGGGACAGCAAAGAAATTATATATTCAAACAACTTGGCCTTGCCAGAGCAACCACCTTTATGCTAACCTACCCAACCTCAAAAGGTGGGTAGAAGGCCACGATGCAGAGACAGTGCTTTTATTTTTCTAAGAACTGCCTAATAGGGAGATAAAAACACACTATTGTTTAAACCATTTCTGTTAAAAGGAGAGAATTTTCTAATACGCCAAGAAAAATTAAAGGATCACGAGAAAGCAAAACAGAAGCCATGTGCAAAGAAAACCCCACAGAACAGCTCTTCCACCTGAACCTGAGAGGGAGGAGTGAGAACTGGGCATGAAACAGGAGTGAGCCTGGGCCCTGGTAGAGCACGGTGGAGCTGATGTTCGTTGAACTAGAGGAGGCAAGGGAGGCTGAGCTGGCTGTGGTTGGTGTCCTACAGGCATTGGCCCTGCAGGGCTCCTGCGGTGGCTGTGTGCTGGAGGAGTACCAGGGAGGGTGCGCTTAGGGGTGTGCTGGGATCTCCTTCCTCTTCCACCTCCCGTAAGGGTGCCTGGTCCCATCTGCCGCGCGTGGCCACGGGCTCCGGGCAGTCTGACAGCACAGCTGTGCACCCCACACTCCCCGAGCAAATGTGCTTAAAAGCTCAGTTTAGCCTGTTTTAGTTTACAGCGTGCCCTTCTGCTTTCAGCCCTTGCCAGAACCAGGAAATGGAGAAGCCTATGCAAGAGAAAAAATAAACGGTGGAAAATAAGAAGTTATCTTAACCTTGAAGTTCTGACTAGGCTCAGATGTGAAAAAGTCCTTTCAGCTGAACCACTTTGCTTCCATTTTTAAAATATGTATTTCTGTGCTCCCCACCCCCCCAGTGATACTATTTATTTGGTATCCCTCATTGCTTCTTGAAATAAATACTAATTTATTCAACAGCAACAGCTTCAAATACCACAGCTTGCTGCAAAAACATACCAGAAAGTGTCCCCAAAGGCCTTTAATGTATACAAAAACAGTTCTGGCCTTCAGCTCTGCATCAGAGACTTTTCCCTGTTATTGTTAGGCCATTCAAGGCCATTGTTCCACTGTGTTATTTATGATTATGGAAAACTTGAAGGATATTCAGGGGGAAAGAAGCAAATAGATACAGTAAAAAAGGATGCGGCTGTTAAAATGCAGCAGTAGAAATCAGGTAACACTATCAAGAATCATTATGTGACCTAGAATAAGTGAGTGTCTCCACTTTCAGTGTCTCCATCTGCAAAATGCAATTGTTTTCCTTTATCTGAGGTTTCACTACACTCAGTGGTAAAAGCATTTGGTTATTATTACAGTCATGTTTTGTGTGTTCTTTTTTTTTCTAATAAGGAATGGTTTTGGCACAAATCATTGGCAGTTATTCTCTTTGGTGGAGGAGATTTTAAACGATAGAGAGGAATTAGCTAGCAAAGGGTTTTACTGTTCTAAAGGGCTGTCAGCACAGCAAATCCCTTATGGCTATTTACTGCCTGACAAGGATGAGGGTTAGGTCTGGCCTGATTTCTTATGCTACCGCCAAACAAAAAAATCACAAAAGCAGATGGAAATAACACAAGATAATTGTATAACCTTCCTTACTAAGAGAGAGGGAAGCCGCTGTTAAGTTGTGCAAAGCACACATGCAGCCCTCCATGAACTCTGTGTCCAGAGGCTGGTGCAGCATGGGCAGCCAAACATACCCTTACCTTCAAGCCTTGTTCAGCTCTTTCCCACCGGTGGGGCCACATTATCAAGGTAGGTACTGACTGGGATTGAGACCAGACCGTCAGCTGTCCTGGTAATATCAAACACCCACAGTTAGTCTCTGCTGGCCCTGTGCTGAAAGCTCACATTCAGACACCACGCAGACTGCACGTACGAGCCAGATTTCCCATGCTGCATGGAGCGGGCTCACGGCTGAGCTCAGGAGCTGCCTTCCTGAAGACCTGCGACTCAGAAGTCCTGGGAACAAAACCCAGGCCACGGTGTCTACACAGCAGATAAGCAACTGGGCTCTGAAACTACAGGGAGAAGCAGAAATGACCTGTAAAACAGCAGGAGGCCACTCTGCACAAGGACACAGGCACAGCCCTCACAGCCAGGAGATGTTCCCATTGCAGCTTTGCCAGCATCTCTTTGTACGAGTCTGACCAGTCACCTGACTCGTCCTCACCTGTTATTACCACATCAGCAGAAGGGGATCACTTCTTGCTCCCTGAGAGATGAGAGCCTTCTCTTCATTAACATTTACATTTAGCTTTGAAATACTTCTGCCGGCAGAGCTAGTATGGTGCAATACTATTTGATGGAAAAGACTTGACAAAGATAGGGTTCCACTTCTGTAAACAGAGTGCTGCTCTCATTACTTCTCTTTGGTAAAATAGTGGCCCTCAAAAAGGAAGCAAAACATGCCAAAACCTGCCCGGGAGATTTATAACCAACTGGCAATGGGAGTATCTCCTGCCCCCTATCAGGCTACACGTTATTTTGCCCTGGCTTCCCAGGCATGTGGAGATCTCCCAGGCGAGTGAAGCTGTGCTATCAGCAGCTAGCTACCTTACCCGCAAGCCTAAGGGAGCTGGCAACCTTTCATTGCCCAATTATGCACCGAACCCACCTCTGTCCCCTCAGCCAGGCGTCGAGTCCCTGCAGGCCCAGGCAGGTGTGATTTCCTAACATGCCTACACAGTTAACACTTATCACCTGCACAAAGTGTGAACCTCAGCAGCAGGGACGTTTACCCAGGCTGCAGCCCGTCAAAGCCTAGAAGGGCACAGAGCAGAGAGATTGCAGTGAGGTGCAGGCAGCACAGCAAGACTCTGGCCGGGCTATGGGCCCTGCCTTTACACTGCTGGGCATTAGCCACCTGTCTGCCACACGCATGGATTTTATTTTAGGCCTAAAATTCAGCCCATCAACTGAATTTCTTCGCTTTGGGAGGCTGCGCAACTAAAACCAATTCTGTTTTTAAAAAAGCTGCTTTAAAATTTGCTGGGCTGGTATGAAATGCTAATGCATGAACAGCCCAGGATTCTGGTGCACCTTGTGTAACACAAGCAACAGCAGAACTTCTTGGCTCATTAAGAATGCCCCAAACGGGTCAAGTAACTTAATCACTGAATCCCACCCTCTGGACTGACTAGGATGATGCAGTTGAACCTGCAGAAGACTCAGCAGGGAGACCCACCTCACCAGAGACACCTTGAGAAGTCACAACAGTATTGTCACAGCTCACTGCTACCCCATGGCATGTTTGTGGAGAGCTCTGTGTGAAGGGAAACCGATCCGTCTCCCACTGTCTCAGCTCTGCCTGAGGGCACAACAGGGATGTCCCCTTCTCATGTTTAAAGGAAACTTTGCACCCACAACTGCTTTGGTGGGTGCAATACCCACACTTGCTAGTGCTGGACATGTTACCAGTAATTTGCTCATCTCTGAAAGCTCAAGCACTTCTCATTTCCCTAGCTGGTGTGGGGCACATCGCTGTTTGGATGAGGAGGAGACAAGATTGCCCTCTGACTGTGGACTGCTGTGCACTTCAGATTGATTTCTGAGGATCTAATAACTTAAATGGACTAAGCCCTGTTTGGCTGGCTGAGTAAGGCTGTGAGCAAAGAACCATTTTTCAATCAATACATAAGTGAAAGTGGCTATTTTTTTGCTTGCTTGCTTCTGATACCACATGGCTTTTGCCACTACATGGGTGCCATGTGCGTGGGAAGTCACCCTCGTGATAGTAAATCAACACGATTTGAGAAAGGACTGACCATGACTGCAGAATCACGAGGTCTGTCTGGAGATACATACTTGTTTAGATCAACCTGTGCTTCAGGGTGAACAGGTTCCCTCACTGCTGGGGCCAGGAGGTAAAACAAAACTCAAACGTTCTGTGTGCTGTATTGATGCACTGAAATACTGGAAGGAAAAAGAGGGCTCAGCTTACCACCTGCACAGTACTGGGATCTCACAGCTCTCTACAGGGATGAAGCAGTGGTTCTCTGCCCCTAGGAACTTCATTGTCCAGAATTTCCAAGCATCAAGCAGCCACATTAGAGCTACCACCTGACTATGCTGCCCAGCATCTGGAAATTAGACAGGATAGACAAGGCAGTATGCAGCATACCACATATGACAAAAATGCAGATAGAGTGTCATGGTGGAAGGACTTCCAAATACGAAATTTAAGGAAAACAAGGGTACAAAGAGAATGTGAGGGATGCTCTTCCCAATTCAACTCATCATGGGAAAATGTGAGAAGAGTGAAATAGGCTGTAAAAGGGATAGGAGGGCAAAAAGGCAGAGCGTAACTGTACACAAGATGTCTTTAGAGGCTTGCATGCAGGCACGGAGGGAAGGGAAGCCATTCCACAAGCATGGGTAGGGATGACCTGGATAGTTTCAACTGTGTGAATTCAAATGTGCTGACCAAGAGTAATCAGAGAGAAGGTAAAAACTAGCTGTCGTGGTTTAACCTCAGTTGGCAACTGAGGACCACACAGCTGCTTGCTCACTCCCCCACCCACCCAC